GAAGGCCCCAGTGGCTCCCCACCACCCATTTCGGCACACCCCTCACACGTTTCGTGGCCCCATAGGGAGCTCCACCGAAGGCCCCAGTGGCTGCGTTCGCATGCCTCCCCACCACCCATTTCGGCACACCCCTCACACGTTTCGTGGCCCCATAGGGAGCTCCACCGAAGGCCCCAGTGGCAGGGTCCGCATGCCTCCCCACCACCCATTTCGGCACACCCTTCACACGTTTCGTGGCCCCATAGGGAGCTCCACCGAAGGCCCCAGTGGCGCGGTGCCTATGAGAAGAGGGGCCTAGTTTGCGTGCCCCCTCCTTCGTCTCATATCCGTGCGGTACTCGCAGCTGCATGTGGTTGGGTCCTTCGCCAGGCTAATTGTTTTTACACGGTTTCGGCGACCCAGGGCCAATAGGGCCCCAAGAGGCTGCAGGGAGGCCCCAGGAGGCCGCAGCGATGGCTCCAGGCGCCTTTCAAGACCCCCATGACGCCAAGAAGGCCCCCGAAGGCCCCGAAGACGCCCCAATGGGCACCCCGAGAGAGTCCCAATAAGCAAAAATCGTCGATTTCCCATGGGGAAACTTATCTGTTTGGCGTGTTCGCCTTTTGGGCTCCCACTGCGTCCAAGACGGCCCAAGAGGCCCCCAAGACTGCCCCACAGGCCCCCACGAGGGCTCCAATACGACCCCAAGAGGGCCCCAAGACAGCCGAGAGGCCCCCAAGACAGCCCAAGAGAGCCCCAGGACGAGCCCCAGAGCTGCACAACCATATTCAAATTCCGAGCTTTCGGCCCCAGAGGCTCTCAGGAGGCCCCAAGAGGTCCCCAGGAGGCCCCAAGAGGCCCTGCAGAGGCCCCAAGATGCCCCCAAGAGACCCCCACGAGGCTCCCAAGAGGCACCACACTAGAGCCCCAAATAAGCGAACATCGTCGATCTCCGACAGGAAAACTGATATTGTTGGCGTGCTCGTCTTTTGGGCTTCCACTGCGTCCAGGACGGCCCAAGAGGCACCCAAGACGGTCGAGGATGCCCCCAAGAGGGCTCCAAGACGGCCCACGAGGGGGCCACGACGGCCCACGAGACGCCTAAACCGCTCAACAACGCCCCAAGTTGGCGCCCAAGACGAGGACGAGGAACAGAAAATGCGAGCCATTTGGCACAAGAGGCAACCAGGAGACCCCAAGAGGCTCTAAGAAGCGCCCCAGAAGCCCCAAGAGGTCCCCAAGAGACCCGCAAAAACACAAAAAGAGTCCCCGAACACGGCCCAAGGCGGCGTTGAGAATATTGTTCGAGAGGGACTGACACGATTCTTCGATGACGGGGCTCCTAGCGATGACGATTCCGTTGAGATTCGCTGTTCCTGAAAGCGCAAGGCATGCTTGCTTGCTGGACCGAGAAGAGCTATGTCGGCGTAACGCGCTGACGCGCGCGTAAGGCTTGTATGTGCAGATATACACATGCATGAGACTGCATTGCTGGCTCGCGCCATGCACCTTGGTAATTCAATTTTGGCTTGCGGGCGGAATGAGAGAAATAAGCAGAAGCAGACACACATTCATATCTATATATATATATATACATACATCTATGAATGGGGATGGGGTCCTGGGGGGCCCGGAGTGCACTGATATGTCTTCCGCCGTTTTGGGCCCGGCGGGGGTGCCAGAACGCGTCAAAGGAGGGGAAGGGGGGCGACGAGAGGGCCCAACACCGCACAAGAGCGTTTCAAAATTTGTCCAACATGGTCTGAGGACAGCCCAAGAGGGCTTCAAGACGACCAATATGCCTTCAAAAGGACTCCCACGAGGCACTCAGGAGGCGAAACCAGTATGTTTGTGTTTGAAGCACTCAGTTGCGCTTGGTGGCGCAACCACACAAGGTTTCTGAAAGTCTCCAAGCTCTTGTTCCTACACCTCACCCTCTGCCACATCTCTCCTCCCCCTTCCCAATTTCCTCCTCCTCCTCCTCCTCCTCCTCCTCCTCCTCTTCGAGGCCCGAGGCCCGTGGCCCTTGGCTCGTCTATCGGGTGGTGGGGCCGAAGTCGGCCATCGGCGGGACATCAACTTCGTTTTGTCTAGGAGGCAGCGGGGAGGAAAGGGAGACAAGAGGGGGCGGTAGTGGCTGGAAGGCGGCGAGGAGTGGCTGGGTAGGGCGACAGCCGGGCGGGGAAGTGGCTGGGAGCACCGCGTTATCCCGAGGAACTCTTTGTACGACCACTGGGTCAAGCTCCTGCTGATCGGCGACAGCGGGGTCGGGAAGTCCAGCCTGCTCATCCAGTTCGCGGAGGGCAAGTACGATCCGAACATGCCGGGTGCTGAGTACCCTGGAGGGCGGGGGGACCAGAGGGTGGGGAGATATCAGCCACGCGCAGAGGGGGGAGGGGGGAGGGGGGAGGGCTTCTTAGAAGCACCCCTGCTTCTTAGAAGGCGCGGGCCTTATCTACAGATGTAAGGCCGGCGCCTTCTAAGAAGCAGCCTCCTTCTAAGAAACCCTCCCCCCTCCCTCCACCCCCTTGTGCGCGCCGCCAAAGATAGGGATTGGGGGCTCGGGGAGGAGGCCCCGGGCGACCCAGGGAAACGGGCCGATGGCGCGGGCCTTCGCACGCAAGCGGACCGCGTCAGGTCGCGCGTGCGCACGGCTGTGTCTCGTCCACGTGATGAGCTGCGCCGTCGGTCTGCGTAGGCCAGCGCGTGGGATCCCTCACCGTGCTGTGTGCAGGACCTCCTGTCAAACGCGGCGCGCTCGTGGTGTTTCGCCCATGCGTCAGAAAGTGCAGCATGCTGGATGAGGGACTGCAGGAAGTTCGGGCGACGTGTCGATGGAGAGTGGGCTCCCACAGTCGAGCAGTGCCATGCCCGAAGCAAGCAGACTGATGTTGAGGCAGAACCCCAGCAGGACGCAGGAGTGGGCATGGATCGCAAGTCCAAGCTTGAACGAAGCGGCAGGCCTGCCTGCCTCGACAGGGCTCTCCCGTTCTCTTCCTCCACGGGCTGCCACCCGACCCCCATGGGGATGGGGAAGTTCTCGATCCTGGATCGATCCTGCATCCTCGATCGATGCTCCATCATGGGTCGGCTATCGATCCTCGATCCTCGATCCTCAATCAGTCCTGAGCCTCTCTGCGGCAGGCTCCCCGCCAGGAGCGCCCCGGGTGTCACTGAGGTCCAAAGTTCCGTCGTCTTCCCTCGATCATCAATGCTCGACCTTGGGTGCTCAGTTTTCAACCCTCCATCCTCGATCCTCGATCGACCATCCACTCTCGGTCCTGGATCGATCATCGATCCTCGATTCTCGATCGGTCTTGGATCCTCGACCGATCGGGCGCGCACGGGCACGGGGGGAGGGGGGGCGGCCTGAACACGAGGATGAGGAGGATGAGGAAGAGGAGGGGGAGGAGGAGGAGGAGGAAGAGGAGGAGGAGACGGAGGAGGAGGAGGAGGAGCAGGAGCACGAGGAGGAGGAGGAGCAGGAGGAGGAGGAGGAGGAGTAGAAGCACAACACGCTCCCAGCGCATGGATGCCCATATAGAGCACACACCACGTAAACAATCCACCACTTACACTAAACACAAAGCGTACGCACACCCTGCGCCCCTCCCGCCCGACCGCCAGGCACACGCCCCGTACGCACACCGTTCACCCCCTCCCCCCGCCCCCCTGGCACACACCCTGTACACGCCCGCGCACACACGCGCACACACGCGCACACGCACACAGCCGCACACACAGGCGCACACAGACACACACACACACACACACACACATTCACACACACGCGCGCGCGCACACATGCACATGCACATGCACATACGCACACACCAGCATCGGCCACGCGCAATACCTGACCACAGCAACCGCAGGCAATCTCTAAACACGAGCTACCAATGGCGACCGTCTGGGCACTTAGGGGAGCCCAGCGGCTGCATCTATGTGCACGCGTGCGCGTTGGTTGCAAATCCATGTGCGCGTACGCACGCAAACTCAGAGAAGCGGCGCTTCCCATTCTTGTCCAGAACGGTTCCTCCCCAAACAGCCGTTTCGCTCGAGAAATCCTCGAACACGTGACATGTTCAAGGAGGTAGTTTAAGACGCTATGTGGCAAGCATGAGTCTCCCTCTCGAGCCATCCTCAGCATAAAACTAGATACCCAGGGATCTTGCGGATTCGTCGAAGTCTTTTTTGCTTAAAAAGTGCGAGGCTCTCGCTCAAGACATTCTCGAACACACGAGAAGGTGGACGGCCTGCTTCAAGACGTCTTCTATTCAACATGGGCTCTCCCTCGGGACACCCTCGAAAAAACGATGATGATGAGGAGGAGCAGGAGGAAGAGGAGGAGGAGGAGGAGGAGGAGGAGAAGCAGGAGGACGATAAGGAGGAGGAGGAGGAGGAGGAGGAAACGGAGGAGGAGGAGGAGGAGGAGGAGGAGGAGGAGGAGGAGGAGGAGGAGGAAGGGGAGGAGGAGAAGGAGGAGGAGGAGGAGATGGAGGAGGAGTTGGAGGAGGATTTGGAGGAGGAGGAGGAGAAGGAGCAGGAGGAGGAGTTGGAGGAGGAGGAGTAGGAGTATGAGGAGGAGTACAACACGATCACAGCGCATGAATGCCCATATATAGAGCACACGCCACGTAAACAATCCACCATTTTCACTAAGCATATAGCGTACGCACACCCTGCGCCCCTCCCGCCTGCCCGCCATGCACACACACCGCACGCACACCGTACTCTCCCCCCGCCCGCCAGGCAGACGCCCCGTACGCACATCGTGCACCAACCCCCATCACCCCCCTGGCACACACCCTGTACACGCCCGCGCACACACGCGCACACACGCACATAGCCACACACACAGGCGCTCACAGGCACACACACACACACACACGCACACACACATGAACTTGCTCATGCGCACACACCAGCATACGCCACGCGCAACACCTGACCAAAGCAACCGCAGCATACCATTAAACACGAGCTACCAATGGCGACCATCCGGGCACTTAGGGGAGCCCAGCGGCTGCATCCATGTGCACGCATGCGCGTTGGTTGCAAATCCATGTGCGCGTGCGCATGCAAGCTCAGAGAAGCGGCGCTTCCCGTTCGTGTCCAGAAAGGTTGTTTCAGGCACTGCTCTGAGTTGGAAGGTTTATCGGAGCCCGCCGACATCAATTACAGAGATCTATGGGTCGCGTGCCAGTGTCTGGACGACAACCTTGACCGATTTCGTGGCTGGCGCATCCTCTTCAGGGTGGACAGCAAGGCATCTGACCAGTATATCAGTGCGCGCTACAGCGCCATTCCGAGGTTCGAACGGCTCGCGGAACGATTTGAGTGGGCAGAGCGGGATGCTTCTTTTTGGGGCCTGGGCGCTCCATTTGGGTGGATTGGCCAATCGCACAGCAGACCTAGGCTCACGGGACCCTCTGTTCCAACGCCTTCCGCGAGGCATCGGTCCGTGCGCCAATTCTGGCGGACGTCGTTGCGCGGCGCGCCTGCGCGTTCAAGCTGGACCTGTTCGCGGACCGGGACGGCCGGAATACAATTGCACGTTCTTGGCGTTCACCCGAGCGGACAGCATTCGAGGCATACCTGAGCAGACACACGGTTTGGGCGCATCCGCCGCCAGTTTGGTTGCGATCCGTCCTGGAGTTTTTAAACGCCCACTTTGTGTAAATCCCTGGTGCTCACATCGTGCTACTATGCCTGGACGACAGACGGTGGTTCCGCCCCGCGGCGCTACGGCGGTGGTTCCGGATCAGGTCTCGGCAAGCGGGGTCTGACTTGTTCTGGCGGCTCCGCGGGGACTCGTGGAGCCACGGGCCACTCGCTGACTTACCATACTTGCCGCTGCAGTCCTGGCAGCCCAACAGGCGGAACCGCAAACGATAAAACGCACCATCGTAATCCAATCATGGATCTGCCGTCGCCACCACTGTTGCCATCACAGTGAGCGTTTCCGCAACCAGCGGCTCGAGTGCCTCACTTGCGCAGCGCGCAAGCTTTCCGATGTTCACGCGGTCCACTTGTACAGCCCATGGCCATGAATGCGGAGGCGGCGAAGGCTTTGATCGCCGCCGCAATCGAAGAGGCCAGCAAGCCAGGAGGCAAAGTCCACCAGGCGATCGTCGATTCCTTCGGGAAGGGACAACCCGGAGCCAAGGCCGTCGACTCGTCCTCCGCAGCCGCTTCCACCCCGGCGATATCGCAGGCCCTCCTGCCTGGAGCAGAGATCGCGGCCGCCCTCGCGAGGGAGTTCGACCAGGGGGGCGGCCGCGGAGAACCCGCGCAGGGCCAAGCTTCGCTCATTGGCCACGGCCGAGCGGGCGGCAGCTTGGAGCAACTTCGTCGCGGAGGCGGACTCGGCGACCCAGGCCCAGACCCCCTCGAGTCATGAAAAAATCACGACGGGAGGTTTTTGGCTATTTTCGGCCTCCGGGGGCCCCTACCGGGCCTCGGGAGCGTCAAAAAACGACTCAGGAGGAAACGCCGGTCCTGGGGAATGGGTCCAAACCTCTGGGGGTCGACGTCATGAAAAAATCGTGACGTCGGGGGTCTGGGGGCCGCGGACGCAGTCGCAAAATATCGGGCCATGGCGAACGTCCTTGCCACGCAGTCGACCTACCCACAGAACGCAAAGCTTGTCGCTTTGAGGAACGCGGCCGCCTTGAAGTACGCGGTCAAGATGAAGTGCGAAGCCATGTGCTTGCCCAGCTTCGGGGGAGGGTCCGACCGCGCCTCCAAGCGATCCTACAGGAAAGGGCGGTCTCGCCGGACAGCGCGATCAAAGCGTTGTCCCTTTCCCCGCCCCACGTGCATGAAATTTTGGAGAACCGGTGCGCGGTCGCACAGGCTGCAACGAAAAGAGGAACGGCGAAGGCCAAGACCGCCTGGGCGGCGATGCCGGGGCAGACACCGCTCCAGATATGCCCGCCGACGCAGACCTCCCTGGGCGGAGGGGAGTCTCACTAGTCGAAAAAAGAAGCAGCTGCTTAGCAAGCTCACCGCAGACCTCGAGAAGCTGGCCACGCACGCCTCCCCGGCGCGCGCCCAGGCCTGGATCGACGAGAAGTTGCAGGTCGACGACGCGCACGGGCGGGCCGCCCCTGGACGACAGTCGCCACTGCAAATCGGCGCGCGCGCGGATGCGCGCATCTCGAGGCATCGTGGACGCATTTCTGGCTCGGCTTCGTGGCGCTGGTTCTTTCGCGCGGGCAGCTGGGCCAAACGTCCACAAGCCTTGCTGGAGCTGATGTTCTACCCGTGGGCGCGGTTGGCCACTGGGGCCCCCGCGGGCCTGCGGGGCGCCGCCCTCGCGGGAGTGGCTTTCTTTTGTATCCGCCGTTCAGCAGAGGCGTTGGCTTTGGCCTGGTCGAGGCGGGCGGCTGCGTGCAGCTGCGCGTCCGCAGGCAGAAGAACGACCTGTTTGGCCGGGGGGTGCTGCGTTGGTTGCCAGGGCATCCTGCTTTAGGAGTTTTGTGTCCGTTTTTTGCGTGCGCGGTGGTGGCCCGCGCAGCGCGGGGCCACCTGCGGCGCGGCGCCTGAGGGCCGCTACTCTGCGCCACCGGCCGCTAGGACCCTTGCCCGGTGCCCCACGCGAAGCGTCGATGAAGCCTGGCGCGGGCAATGCGAGATCGCGACGTTGGTGCCCTTTCTTTAAAGGGGGGCGCGCGCTGATGGCGGGCATCAGGAGGGCTTGCGGACGAGGTCATCCAGATGCAAGGCGGGTGGGCTTCAGCAGAAGTCATGCCCTCGTTTTACTTGCGATTCCCGGAAGGTGAATCGAAGATGATCTTGCTCGAGGCAGCGGCTTCCGGCGACCTGGAGATTCCCGCGGCCGCAGCCGCGCTGGCGCCGCTGGCAGCCGACCCGCCCCCCGAGGGGGCCCGGTCAGGCTCGCCCAGCGAGCTCTGCGTCTGGCAGCGACGGACGTGACAGACACGGGGCCTCGAAGGGGTGCCGTGCTGCCTTTTCGCAGCATCGCTGCCCGCTGGCAGCGCAATGCAACGCACTTGCCGCATTTGGCAATTGCCTGCGGCGCAAACGTGACCCCTTAGAGGCACTGCTGTGCCACGGGGTCTGGGGAAAGACCATTGTGTCTCCCCCCTCTTGGCAGCGCGCCCGCCACTTGCCCCGGTGACGCCTCGCGTGGCCCGCCGCATCTCACCTCGGCGTGCGTCCTCGCGTCGTGGATCGTTGCTGGACTCGGCTCGGAATGTCGGGCCTGGCTGGGGCCCGCCGTCGCTGGCCGCTTGGCGCCTCCTGGGTGAGACGCCCGCGGGCCGAGGAGCGGCGGCGCGCCTGGGTCGACCGCGGGCTTCGCTGGCTCGGTTCCCACGGGGGGCTGTTCGGGGAAATCGAGGTTTCGCCCGGCGCCCGCCAGCGCCCCCCCGCGGGCTCTCGCGGGCGCCTCGCGCGCTCGGCGGCCGCATAGACTGCGCGAAGCAGCTCTCACGATTACCGCATCTTCTCCGTTCGAAAAGAGCGTTAGGATCGACCCCCCCCCCCCCCCCTCCGGACTTAACGCGTCACCTTTTCGCGTTAGCTTCCGCATTCTATTCTGCACATTTGCCCATCCGAAATGCGAAGTCATACCGTCCCAGGCACTCGCTCATCAACCGCCCCCCTCGCCCCATGCAAGAAAATGCATGCACGCGCGCTCGTTTATCCGTAAGGGCCTCTCCCCCTGCCGCCGGCCCCTCTCTATCATAATGGGATATCGCAGAGTCGCGTCGGTGCGCCTCGGCGCTGCTTTGGCGCATCGGGGAACATCATGCGGCGGCGGATAGGAATCATCAGCGCACATTGAGACGTTGGCTTTATCCTAGTGGCCTTCGCCCTCCCGCCGCCGTGCGTGGGTTGTGGGTCTGAGGCCTCTTGTAAATTTGGGGTGTCGCGGGGGGCCTCCCGGGGGCCTCTTGGGGGCGGTTTGGGCGCCTCTTGGAGCCGCGTGGAGTATATTTTGGGCCTCTTGGAGGCCTCTTTGGCGCCTCTTGGGCTTATTGCGGCCTCTTGGCGGCCTCTTGGGGCCTCCTGGTGGCTTCTCGGGGCTTCTCAGAGCGCCTTCGGGCCATATTGGAGCCCCTTTCGGTCAGGTTGTCTGGGGCTTTTTCCGGGCTGTCCGGAGGCTTTCTGGGCCGTCTTGGAGCACCAGAAATTTGTAAATGCGAGAAGGCCAGAATCCTTTAAACATTTTCGTGGCATCGACGATGTGGGCCTCTTGGGGCTCGTTCGGGGGGCCTCTTGGAGTGCTCTTGGGGCCTCTTGGGCCATCTTGGAACCATCTTCGGGCGCATTGGAGCACTCTTGGTCTTGGCAATGCGAGTATTCATAGCCCCGAATCATCAGGGGAAACTCGGGCCAGGGATAACTCGGGTTCGTTTTTCCGGAATCCAAACCCGAGTTACCCCGGACCCGAGTCGCCCCGGATAACTCGGGCGTCCAGAGCCCCACATCATCAGGGGTAACTCGGGTCAGGGCTAACTCGGGTTCCTTTTTCGGGAATCCAAACCCTACCCCGGGCCCGAGTTACCCCGGATAACTCGGGCGCCCAAAGTATGGCCGAATCTGCAAGCGATTATGGCTTCGGTGATGCGGATGTGGCATCATATGCGAGGGTCTGTTACCCGTATGGCTTAATCTGCAAAAGATTAGGCTTCGGTGATGCGGATGTTGCATCAAATGCGAGGGTCTGTTACCTCGGGGACGCAACAATGCAGTACTTTGCAAAGGCTTATGGCCTCGGTGACGTGAGCATCGCGTATTTTGCGAGGAATGCTTGACGCTTCGCGTGACCCCACCAACCCACCTGGCGCAGCCCGGCAGCTTAGGCAGCTTTGGCAGTTTAGGTTCGGCCGTCGGTCCCCGTGCGTTACGCAATTAGGCTCGCGCGTGGCCCGCCCGACCTCTGACGCTGCTGGCGCGCTTGCCTGCGGCCGCGGCGAAAAAGTACCCCCACCAGCTGGGGCGCAGCCCTACTGGATTGCTCAGGAGTGGTTCAGCCTTCTTGGTCAGCCATGTGTGTTTGTCTCTGTTGGCCCGCAGCCTTGCACGTTGGACTGCTTGTGCAGCCCCGCGCTTCGCCACGCTTGGTGGCGCGTCTACCTCTGGCGCCTGGTGCGACAAGGTTCAATTCATCCTCTTCCCGTGGTCTCGCCTCTGAGATGCCCGCGCGCTGGCCGCCTGGCGTCCCCGGTAGCTTTCGCAGTCTGCCTTCAGCCCCTGGCGCCCCTCAGCCTCCCTCGGCGGCAGCCCCGGCAGCCGTGAGTGCGTCCGCTGGGCAGTTAGGTTTCGCCCGTAGCCCGGGTTGACCTCTGACGCCGCATGCGCCTTCGCTTGCGGCTGCGACGGGAAGAAGTAACCCCGCCAGCTCATCCAGAGACGATGCCCAGAGGATTTGCCTCGATCAGGGATGTGGGCAGCATGCGGTCCCTCTTGGAGCGCTTTTGGGGCCGTCTTGGGGCTCTCCTGGGCCTCTCTTGCGCCTTGTGGGCCTCTTGGCGGCCCGGGGGGCCTCTTGGACTTGGGAGCCTTGGAGGCCTCTTGGGCGCCTCTTGGGGCCTCCTGGGCGCCCCTTGGGGTCCTTTTCTGAGGCGCTCTTTGGAGCCTTGGGGGCGCTTTTGGGGCCATCTTGGAGGACATTGATCAAACGAGAAGGGATCATCAATTTGCGTTGCCCCTCGGGAGCCTCAGAAATCGCATCTTGGAGCGTTTTGGGGGCGCTCTTGGAGCGCTCATGGGCGCTCTTGGGGCCGTCTTGTGGCTCTCGTGGGCCTCTTTTGGGCCCGATCCGCCCATCTTGGAACCATCTTGAAGCCTCGGATGGCCATCGGAATCGAAACGGCGAGAAAGCCAACAACATTGATTTTATTTCTATTTAAAAGGATTGTGGCCTCTTCGGGGCCTCCTGGGGGAACTTTCTGGCCACTTGGAGCGGTCTTGGAGCGGTCTTGGGGCCTCTTGGAGACATCTTGGGATATCATCAGCCATCTCGGAGGTCATCTTGGGCTCTCCCAGGCGCTTTTGGAGTCATCTTACAGAGCGCCCCCCCCCCAGGATGCCAAAATGTGGCCAAAACCTTTGTCAAATCAATGATTTTAGCATTGTCGCCGAGGCCTCTTGGAGCGTCTTGGGTGCCTCTGGGGGGCGTTTTGGGGCCTCTTGGGGGTGTCCTGGGAACCTCTTGGGGGCACCCTGTGGGCCTCTTGGGGCCTGGCCACCTCTTGGGGCCCTCTTGGGGCCCTCTTGGGGCACCCTTGGGAGCCTGGGGAGCGCTCGTGGGGCCATCTCGGAGGCGAGCGCTGCCCCCCCAAAAGGCCAAAATGGGGCCAACATCCTAGTAGAACCAATGATTTTGGCTTCCTCGCCGAGGCCGTTTTGGACGCTCCGACCGCTCGCGAAACGCCCCGTCCAGGTCCAGGGGAGGGGGAAGGGGGAGGGGCCCTCCCCGAAGGGGAAGAGGGGGGTGGAAAAGGAAGCACCCTAAACCACCTACGCCCTAAAGGGCTGGTGGGATTATGGCTTCGGGGACGCGTATATTGATTCATTTACCAAAGATGCTGGCCTCGGGGGTGCGAGTCTCGTGAATTTGTACGTGTCCCACGCCCCCCTGGGAATTCAGAGCACGCGATCCGAGGGTGGCAAGGGGCTCCTCCCCCCCGCGCGGGCTTCAACATTTTACAGTAGGAAGCAGAAGGCAGGATTGTAACACTGGAGGCTTGAAACTGCAACTGGTGCGGGGAGCTGCAGATGCGTCCTGCTGCCTGGTGGCCCCACAAGGGGACCGGCGGATCAAACACCACCAGTTTGCAATAATCCCTTGCAACGCGTTGGACGAGGTACGCACGCGCGCGTCGTCGCGCGCGGGCATGCCGAAGTCCTTCAAACACCGGAGGCATCGTAAGGATCTCAAAATCGAGTGCCCCGTTAACAAAAACAACGGTTTCGCAACAGGGGTCTTCAAACAAGCCTGGGGTCGCGCTCTTGCGATTTCTTAAGAAAGCAATCGGTTCGTCAACATGTTCATCACATGCTACCAAATTTGTCTCTCGCGCGCGGATGTTGGAATCATTCGCGCGCCCTTGCGTGCGTGCTGGGGTGTACGATCCCAGTCAAATTATACCATGCAGGTCACTCGCGCGCGTCGGCCGCGCACGCATGTCGAAATCTTCATCATTATCTTCATCACCGACGCGAGGATACCATACTTGTCATCGGCGTGATCAGCATCAACGCCGTCATTGCCCTTGCCGTCTTCATTGTCACTATCGCAATTAGCATCGCTACTGTCATCAGCGTGTCTGCTGTTGCTGACGTCTCCATGATACTGCGCCCGCCCGAGTCACCGACTCGCACTGAAGTGCCCGCACGTCAGTGCGGCCTGCGAGACGTGCCCGGAAGTCCCGTCAGCGCCACCGCGGCCGCGTCGGTCGCGTCAGAATGGCTGGCCGCTTTCCGCGCGAGCATGCGCGCTAGCGCGGCCGCAGCGATGTGCCAGCCAGCGCCGAGCAGTCATCACAATCGCCGCCGCATGGGTTTTGCAAGCCAAGTTGCGGGTGGTTGGGTGGGATGATTGCGCGCGCAGTGGAGTTGACAATTTCAAGTTCGGCTGGGTGAATTGCACCACGTAGCTTACACCAACATAGCTTACACCACACATATTACACCACACGATTTGCATCACATATCGCACCGCACAAGCTACACCACATGGCTTGCATCACCTAGCCTGCACCGTATACATTACACCGCCTAAGCTTGTGCCACGTATCGTACACAATATAGACTGCACCACGCAGCTTGCACCGCACAGCTTGCAACACTTTGCTTACACCATGTAGCTTGTACCGTATAGCCACACATCCACAGGGTCAACGCTGGCAAACGTGCTTGTGCAGTTTTGTGTATTTGCTCCTGTTTTTTTCCCGGAGTCGTGCAGGCCCTATGCCATCCCAACCTGCTCCGTGCGCCAGGGAGCGGGTCGAGCTTCGATCCAAGGGATCCAAGCGGCCCTTCCAACTATTTATGTTTATGCCGATCTTTGTTGTTATAGAACAGCGGCGAGGAGCAGCAGCAGCTGCGGCAGGAGGACGAGGAAGGCCACGAACAGCAGCAGCAGCAGACGAAGCAGTTGGTAGCAGCGCGGCGCGCAGACCCGAGGCCCGAGACGATCGGGATGGACTTCAAGGCGTTGGTTGGCGTTGGAAGCGCCCCGGACATCGTCTTGCAGCTTTTCGTAATTCTGTTTCGCTAGAGGGTGAAAGTTGTTCGGCTATTTTTCGAATATTGTTTAATACTGATTCGTTTTCCCGAATCTGACGCTTTCTAATATTCTTTAATATGGTTACGCTTTTCCTAATACTGTTTCCTAATGCTGTCTTGCGTGTTTTTTTTCGAATCGTGTTTCGAAGTGAAAAGAGAACCATAGAGGGTCCCACAGGGGCGACGGGGAGCCCAGTACCGCCCGCCGGTCCGGCAGCCCTTTCGCGTGAGATTTCTGCACGGTTCATAGAGGATTCGCGTTCTCGCCTCACTGTTGGCTTCAGGTTTGGTCTGGCCACGACCCTTTGTAAGAAATGCACTACGGTGCTCTCGCCTGCTATCAGGGTGCTTGGCTGGGGTGATCATGTTTTGCTTCCTGGGGGGCCGAAGCTCAGGAGCGAAGCAAACGCGCACGTGCGCATTAATGCTCACAGGTTTTGAGAGACCGCATGCCGCTGGCGTTGATGTCAGTAGGGTGGCCTCGCGAGATTCATGTGAATCCAGCGTCCTACTTGTTGCAGTATCTGCAGAGCGGGGCGGCTGCGGGAATGGGCTTGCGGGCGCAAAGCTCAACCTTTTTGAGTTCTTACAGAAACGATGCAACAAAAGCGGTCCTAGAGGCCCACTGGGCCTTGGGGGGATCAAAACGCACGTTGAAACGCATAAGACCTTTAAAGATGTTGTTGCATTTCTGGTTTTTCATGTCGGTGGCGAGCGAGGGTGGGAAGTGAGAAGGAAAAGGCCTTCTCAGAAGGCGGCGGAACTTCTCAGAAGCCGTCGCGACTTCTAAGAAGCTGTTCTTTTTTTCGGGGAAGGCTTTGGTTTGGGTTCTAGACTTCGCCTCGGATCATCCGCAGACGCCCTCAGGACGCAAAGGTCAGCGAGGGTGAAAAGAAAATGGTGGCCCAAAAAGCCCCGGCCACATGGCCAATTAGGCAAGATGACGACGACGCCCGAAAACCTCGAACCTCGAACCCGAGACTTCCCCCCCGACTCGCTCGCCGCCTATCATGGGGAACTCAAGCATGGCGAGGCCCTTACGGCCTCGCCTTCGGCGCGGCTCGCCCTCGGCGGACGCCGGCGGCCGAGAAGCAGCAGCCGGTCCGCCAGCGGAAAGCCCCGGCAGAAGGTCGGCGGGAGGCGGCGGGAGGAGGGGGAGGAGGAGGAGGAGGAGGAGGAGGAGAGGAGGAGGAGGAGGAGGAGGAGGGGGAGAAGGGGGACGAGGAGGAGGAGGAGGAGGAGGAGGAGGAGGGAGGAGGAGGAGGAGGAGGAGGAGGGAGGAGGAGGAGAGGAGGAGGAGAGGAGGAGGAGGAGAGGGAGGGGGAGGGGGGAGGAGGAGGAGGAGGAGGAGGAGGAGGGGGAGGAGGAGGAGGAGGAGGAGCGGTGTCCACAGCCGGACCGATGCCGAGACCTGCAAGCTCTGTCGGGGCATGCTGTCCAAGACTCGAGGAAGAGAAACGGCATAAGCACGAACTGGTGGCGCTACGCGCGGATTTCTTGGATCTGCGCCAGGCCCCCCCCCTGGCGGCGACGCGCGCGCCAGGGGCGACGCCTCGGGCGCCACCCCTGGCGCGCTCCGCGCACCAGTGAGGGGGGTCCAGCGCAGATCCAAGAAATCCGCGCGGAGCGCCAAGAGTTTTTGCTTACGGCGTTTTTCTAGATGCTGTCTCGAAAGTTGCGAGAAATGGACCGGGCCGACTTCAGCTCCCACCAAGTTCGAGGTGAGGGTGCTCGAGATCGGCGGGCTGAAGGCGCCCTCCCGCGGGCCAGGGGGCGCAGGGAGGAGGGTCGCAGTCGGCTACGTTTAAGTCGGGCGGGTCTTTCTACAGGAGGGATAGTCAAACATAGTCAAACAATAGTCGGGGGACGATTCTTCGACCACGTTTGAGCATCTTCTGACTTTTCTCGGAGTATCTGTTGATTTGTCGCCCAAAGTCCCCCTGTAGGAGGACACGCCCGACCTACGAATACGAGTAAGAGCGACCTTTCGCTGGAGCGACTTTTGGTGCGGGCATCCGCACTGGCTGGCGCGCGCTGGGACTGCTTGGACGTGGCCTCCCCCGCGCCCCCCCCCCACGGCCGCGCACCAAGGGTCCCCCTTGCCCATAGGGTCGCTCCTTACCAGCCTGGAACATGTCCCTATCCCTATGCTGGGCATCTCCTCATCACGATGCCAATCTTAGGGATTCCCTTATTTTTTGAGGGCGACTCCCTGAAATTGCCATCGCCTTTTGGCGTGTCAATCTAAGGGATAGGGACACGTTCGAGGCTGGTGAGCTCTTGCGCGCAGCCGACGCAGGCGGTGCTCTTCATCCAGGCGTGCAGTCCGAGGGCACGATGGTACTCCAAAGAGTTCCTTCTGCATCGACCCACCTCCTCCTCCTCCTCCTCCTTCTGCTCCTGCTCCTCCTGCTCCTCCTCCTCCTCGTCCTCCTCCTCCTCCTCCGCGTCCTCCTCCTCCTCCTCCTCCTCCTCCTCCGCCTGCTCATCCTCATCCTCATCCTCATCCTCATCCTCCCCTAAAAAAACGGACCCCCATCCAAACGCGACCTGGTATTCCGGACCGCCTTCTTCGACGGGGCGCCTTAATAATTGGGACCCTTAAGCTCCAATCCAAGGAGAGCGCCCTCATGAACTGGACCCCCCCCAATCACAAAAAAGGCGCCTTAAAAAACCAGACCCAGGGGACGATTAAGAAATCCCTTGGCGGAGGGACTCCGAGACAAGCCTCACAGCCATCGTCCTGAAATCAAGACCCCTTTGGGCTCAGGAGGGGCTCTGGTGTTCGGACCGTGCCTCAGATCTGGGTCGGGGAACCTCTTCGTGGCCAGAAAAGCGCCCTTCGTGGTAGCGCGGTGACTGTATTGATCATCGCCTTAGCCGTCCCCCCATCCTCCCCCTCAACTCCTTCCCTCCTCCCCTCCCGCCGCCTCAGAGATTTTGGAGGTCTCTGCCTGAAGGTCTCTCCAGAGTCTGGAGGCGTTCGCAGGCGCTTTCAGAGGCCCCTAGGAAGACCGCACACGTCCAAACATCTAGATCATCGATCCTCCTCCTCTTTTCCTTCTCCCCCATCTTCGATCCTCTTCCTCCTCTTCCTCGTCCTCCTCCTCCTCCTCCTCCTCCTCCTCTACCTACTTTGATCTTCTCTGATAGTATATTAGTCCTCCTCCGACCCTCCTACAAGTACGCATACAATCTGAACACTACCTTCTCTCTCTCTCTTTCTCCTTACTCTGTCACGAGATCTCCGGCCCTCCTTGTGTATGGTTTCGAACACACAGGATATCAAACATGGGTGTTTCTCATGATTCTGCAATCCGATGGTTGTCGGTGTCTCAGCATGGTGTTCCGCTACAGCGTTGGCCTTATTTTCGGATCGGCGCCCTGCTCCCGTCGTTCAGGATGGCACTCTCGCCCCAGCGCGGGCCACTTTTCTGGATCCGAGTCCGTTTTCATCGTTGTCGCCGCCCTCATTTCCCCTCATCCACCTTCCCCTGGTCCTCCTGCTCCTTCTATGCCTTCCGCTCTGCTGCTGCTGCTGTTCGTCCTCGTCCTCGTTCTCCTCCGTTTTCTTCATCATTCGCATCACCACCAACATCATCATCATCATCATCATCATCATCATCATCATCATCATCAGCATCAGCATCATCATCATTACCATCATCATCATCACCACCACCATCATCATCATCAGCATCATCATCCTCATCATCATCAGCAGCATCAGCATCATAATCATCATCATTACCATCCTCATCATCCTCCTCATCATCAGCATCAGCAGCAGCATCGTCATCACCACCATCATCATCATCAGCATCATCGGCATCAACATCATCAGCATCACCATCACCATCAGCATCACCATCAGTATCATTATCATCCTCCTCCTCCTCCTCATCATCATCATCATCATCATCATCATCATCATCATCCGCAGCAGCAGCAGCAGCAACAGCATCATTCTTGCCCTCCTATTCGAGCAGCCTGGCGCGATCTATAGGCCCACGCCACTGCACCTTTTTCTCTCGACGGTGCGGGCGGCCAGGCGGGGCTCGGTGCGAGGCCGTTCGCAACGCGCTGGAGCACCCCGAAGTGGCTGGCGAGGACGCTGGAGGCACGGCCCCGCCACGGCCCCCGCCTATGTTTTCGCATCTCGAGCATGTGGTGGAGGCCGCCGGATCCTACCTCGTGTGAAGGAGCTGCAGAGCGCGGGCTGCGATCGACGCTCCGCACTTCCGTTCGTTGCTGC